TAAGGGACTAAAAAGGGTATTTTGCCTACTCATTTTTAGCAATTTCGCAACTCTCTAACATAATGTTTCGATAGTGTAGATATGCTATTGAAAGTACTGGTTTTGTCATTTTTTGTAGGATATCTCCTCTGTGAAATATAGGTGTGAAACTCTCTGTTAGTGCATGAGGCACTTTTAATGAGGAGAGAAAGAGAGAATAATAAAGGAATTAAGGATTTGTATTATTCAAGTGTACAAATAATGATACACATTATGACTATTTATATACAACCCTAATTGGGCTTGGGCTAACACAACTTAGATTATATTAAATATTAAATCTAATCAACTCTAATCTAATCTAATTTAATATTTCAACACACCCCCATAATCCAAGTTGTCGAACATCTTCAAAAATAGTCAATCTGAACTATTCCTAATTTCTTTCTCAAATTCAGGAATCTGTCGATCTTCAATCCTTTGGTGAAAATGTCGGCCAACTGTGCTTCACTTGAGCAATGCCTAACTTCAAGTTCACCTTGATTTACTTTTTCCCTCAAGAAGTGAAACATTGCTTCAATATGTTTACTTATTCCATGCAAAACTGGATTTTTCGCCAGATTTATGGATGACTTGTTGTCGATTTGCAATACTAGAGGTTTCTTCACTTCGACAGTCATTTCTTCAAGTATAGATCTGATCCAAATTGCTTGACATGCAGCATAGGATCCTGCTATATATTCAGCTTCAGAATATGACAATGCCACCACAGGTTTCTTCTTCGAACACCATGATATTGGGGCACCAAATACTTGAAAGAAATATCCAGTTGTGCTTCTCCGATCTTCCTTATCTCCACACCAATCAGCATCTGAAAAGCAATTAACTATTTCTTTTTTGCCTTTATAATCTCGTCTAAATAGTATTCCACAATTTATTGAACCCTTCAAATATTGAAGGATTCTTCTTGTAGACTACATATGTGACACTCTTGGTTCACCCATATATTTGCTTACTAATCCGACTGCGAAACCTATATTAGGTCGACTGTTGCACACATACCTCAGAGATCCCACAATTTGCATGAACAAAGTTGCATCGACTTTGTCTTCCTCTCCATTCTTCTCAAACTCACATTTGGTTCAACAGGTGAGGATGCAGGATTCGAATCATCCACTCTGAATCTCTTAAGCATCTCTTTGACATACTTTCTTTAATGCAGCACCATACCTTGCTTCGACATTCGAAATTCCATGCCTATAAAATAAGACAATTTTCCTAGATCCGACATTTTAAATTCCTTCGTCATCAGCTCTTTGAACTTCGACAAGTTCTCCAAACTATTTCCAGTTACTAGCAAGTCATCAACATACAAGCAAATGATTGTTATATATTTTGCTACAACCTAAACATAGACACCATACTCTGATTTGCATTTGACAAATCCTAATTTGACTAAGTATGAGTCGATCTTCTTGTTCCATGTCGTAGGTGCCTGCTTGAGGCCATAGAGCGCTTTGTGCAATCTATATACTTTACTCGCTTCCTTCTGAATCACAAATCCAGGAGGTTGTGTGACATAAACTTATTCGTCTAAAGGACCATTCAGAAATGTTGATTTCACATATAGATGGAATGTTGATCAACATTGGTTGCATGCCAATGCTACTACTAGTCAAACAGGCTCTAATCTTGCTACTAGAGAAAATACTTCAGAGTAGTCAAGTCCTGCTCTTTGAAGAAAACCTCGAGCTACTAATCTTGTTTTATGTCTTGCTATTGACCCATCTGCATTGTGTTTCAACTTGAACACCCACTTTACTTCGATGGCTTTTGTATGTGGTGGTAATTCGACTAACTCCCATGTGTTGTTTCTTTCGATTGACTGTAACTCTTCAACCATAGCTAACTTCCACTTGTTAATCTTCAAAGCTTCGCTATAGTTGATTGGTTCAACACCTTCAAGTAAAGAAAAATGAACTAATTCTCCACCTGGTGTGATTTCATCATCACCTATCACTTCATAATCATGAAGTCTTGTGGGAAGAACTTTATTTCTCTGAGGTATTTGGCTTGTTTCAGCCACAACCTCTTCAACTTCGACTGTGACGGGAGTATCAGCAACCTCTTCTTCTTCGACTTCGACTGGATTCCCAAAAATTCCTTCGACCTCTACTTTATTAGTTTCTTCATCGAAATCAAAGTTCATTAATGATTTGTTAATTGAATTGCTAGAATTCCAATCCCAGGCAGAATTTTCATTAATCACAATATCTCGACTCAACACAATCTTCTCATTAACTGGATTGAATAGTTTGTGTGCACCAGTTTTATGATATCCTACCAGAATCATAGGTTCACTCTTGTCATAAAGCTTTCTTCTCCTTGCATCAGGAACATGCTTGTAACACATAGAGCCAAACACCTTCAAGTGACTTACTGATGGTCGTTTGCCACTCCACACTTCTTCAGGAACCTTGTTCTTCAATATCTTAGTAGGACACCTATTCAAAATATAAACTGCAGTTGAAACAGCTTCTCCCCATAAAGATTTTGGCAAATTATTTTGCTTCAGCATGCATCTCACCATATCTAATATGGTTATATTTCTTCTTTCAGCAATTCCATTATGTTGAGGTGTGTAAGGAGCAGTTACCATATGATCAAAACCATGTTCTGCACAGAAATCTTCAAACATCTTGGATGTGTATTCGCCATCTCCATCTGTTCGCAGAACTTTGATCTTCTTCTCACTCTGGTTTTCGACAAGTATCTTGAATCTCTTAAAGATTTCGAATACTTTGTCCTTTCATTTGATCACATAGATTCGTAGCTTTTGACTAAACTCATCGACAAATGAAACAAAATATATGTTTCCATCAATTGTATGTTCTTCGAATGATCCACATACATCTGAATGCACCACTTCGAGAATGCAGGATGATCTCATTGACATAGTCGAAACGAAAAAATTTCTAGATTGCTTTCCCACTAAACAACCTTCACAAAGTTTTTCAAGCACCTCAAGGCTTGGAATACCAGTAACCATATCTTGAGTAATTCGTTGATTAAGTGATCAAAAATTCAAATGTTCAAACCTCAAGTGCCACAACCAACTATCCTTGTGGTTGACAACAGTTTTCAAGCATTGAACTTCTGTCGAACTGATCATAGTCTTAAATGTCCTATTCTTCGACAATGGAGATTTTAAGACCAAATTGTTTTGTGTGTCAAACAATTTCAAAACTCCATCTTTCATGACAACTGAGAAACCTTTTTCGACTAGTTGTCCAACACTTAGCAAGTTCCATTTCATTCCAGGTACATAGAGCACATCTTTTATCATAGATTTTCCTCCATTACTCATTTGAAAGACTATGTTGCCAGTACCTTCTGCTTGCAACGAACTATTATCAGCAAGTTTTACCTTGCTCTTCTTCAACTCGTCAAAATCTGCCAACCACTCCTTTCGACCAGTCATGTGGTTCAAGCAGCCTGAGTCGAGAAACTAGATATTGGACTCAACATGGTTATCTGCAACTGCAGCCATAACCATCATACCACCTTCAGAATCATCTGAATCTTGGCGTGCAAGGTTCGCTCCTTCGTCCTTGCCTTTCGATCCCTTGTCTTTTATGTACCAACAATTCTTGGCCAAGTGTCTCCACTTTTCACAATTATAACACTGCATACCTTTCTTATCTTCTTTGTCCTTTCGATAGTTTCCTCCTCCCCTTTTCGAGGATTCAGAAGATCTATCTTCGACCTTATTCTTATGGGGATTCGACCAAGACTTCTTGCCATGAGTCTTGTCGAACTTTCCTTTGAATTTGTTGGAACCACCATCTTTTTTCTATGATTGAGCTTGCAGTGCCTATATCGAGTCCTGAACTCCTTTCTTTTCGACAATCCTCATCTCATGCGCCTCCAACAAACCAACTAAACCTTCCACTTTAGTGGTTTCAAGATTGTTGGATTCTTGAATAGCTACGATAATGTGATCAAAGTGAAAGGTCAACATTCTCATTACCTTCTCAACTATCATCTTATCAGTAATGGTTTCACCATAATCATTTATGAGATGGACGAGTTTCTGAATCTTTGACACATATTCAGCAACTTTTTCATCTTCTCCCATCGATAACAACTCATATTGTCGATGCAAGGTTTGTAATTTGACAACCTTGACTTTCTCACCTCCTTCGAAATACTTTACCAGAATATCTTATGCCTCCTTCGTTGTTTCAGCATGAGAGATTTTGTCGAAGTTAGCAGCATCAACATTCGTTTGAATACAATAAGTAGCCTTGCAATCTTTCTTCTTGACTTTGTTGTGGGATTTTTTCTGTTCGTCGGTTGCATTTGCAGCCAACGCAGGAACGCCGTCGATAACCACTTTTAGGGTTTGATGGAAGCCAAATAAAGATTGCATCTGTTTTTTCCATCGTATCCAATTTTTGTCGTCAAGCATTGGAAGAGAATTCGGAATGCCCTTATCACTAGCCATCTTCGGAGCGGTTGATTTACTTGCCCTAGAAAAACGATCTCTGACGTGAAATTATTGAAAACTTGATCAAGAACAATAATCGGAAGATCTGGATACCAATTTGTTAGTGTGTGAGGCACTTTTAGTGAGAAGAGAAAGAGAGAATAATAAAGGAAATAAGGATTTGTATTATTCAAATGTACAAATAATGATACACACTATGACTATTTATATACAACTCTAATTGGATTTTGGCTAACACAACTTAGATTATATTAAATATTAAATCTAATCAAATCAAATTTAATATTTCAACAATCTCGACTGACTTTTCCAATTTTTTTATAAATACGCGAGTTAGTTTCTACTTTTAAATTACAGTGATGTATAAAAAATGTATTTTAATATATATTTATAATGCTTATAAAATATGATAACACGGCTAAAGTTCAAAAACTAAATATTTCAAACTATTTACAATACGTATATGAGCCATTATACATGTAGATGATAGTTAACCCTTTGAGGATGATTCTTACATTATAAGCTTTTTGCAGACCTGCTCCATGGTAGGGCGAGATCTTGGACTTTCGGTTAAACATGAAATTGCTATCCTTATCATCAAACTCACGTCCTTTTGAACATTGTTTCTGGGATATGGGAGACGCTGGTCCAACTTCTCCATCCATGGCAAAGTATCAAGTGTGAGGTCCATAACACTTTCTGAAGATTGTTGCCACAAACAAGTTACAATATCTCCCGGATGCTTCCCAAAAAGTATCTCTAAAGTTAATATTCCAAAACTATACACATCACATTTTTCATTTACTTCCATTGTGTATGCTAACTCTGTTGGAATTGAAAAAAAGAGTTATTGTGTGAAAATTTGGATTACAAAAACAAAAGATTTAAAATAGATTAATGTAAAGAAAGGTAAATGACCTGGAGCTGCATATCCAAACGTTCCTGCAAAAGAAGTCATATTGGATGAATTGGGATTTAGAAACTTCATGGCCACTTTTCACATGCTTCCACTTGGAATCTCAACTTTCATTACAAAGATGGATTGTAGTACACATTCCAAGCTTTCCAAATTGTCCAAGAACTTCTCAAACACCCTTGTGGTTAGAGAGAATCGAATTTGTCAATATGGGCAAAAGTCACTTTGTTCATGAGCCATTTCCATGTTCATAACTTGTGCATTTTTGAAATCAGCATGTGCAAGCTACATTACAGGCCTCTAATCTCATTTACACTCGATAATTAAATGCCAATCCATTGTGCCAAGGCATTATTTTGTGCATTTGGTCATTGCATGAAGAATTAAGCCTTAATTAGAAAAAGCAAGTTATCCATTTTTGTAAAGTTACACTTTATGTCAAGTTTAGAATCCAAGAGGTACAAGGCAAATCTCTGAGGCACAAGTTATTATACATATCCCACTGATCAAGACAAAGCTTTGCAGCATGTTTTGGGGGCCTGCATAAGCTTGTAACTCAACTTGGCATTTTTAACTTAAGATAGAAGAAACTTTGCAAATACAACATCTCTCATTCCTGTAACAACAAGCCTAAGCAAACTTATTGAACACATTCCAAACATCATAACTGAGCTGAAACACGAGCCAACCATCTTCAATACCTCCCCAAACATCAAAACACCATTTTGCTGCACAAAACAGGGCATCCCTGCAGTTTGAGTGGCATAGCTCATTTCCATCGTGCATTTTCATCCAAACCACTTCATACACCTTCCATAACATCCATACAAACTATCCCAAGCATTGGACACAAACTGTAACACCTCTAACCAGTTTTGCCATTTTCATTTTTCTCTCTTGCAGGTTGACTTCTGTAGCTTGATACAGCAAGATTCAAAGCACACCAAGCATTGGAATAACATCCCTGGACTTCAAGCAAGCTGTGCAAGTCCTCACATTGCCTTGAAAGTGCCTCCATTGTTGTACACGTTTCAAGCTGAACAGGTAAGTTTTTGAACTTCTATCTCTCTATCCATGCATATCTAGGCTTAGGTTTGTGAAGAAGTCATGCTCTACTCATGTCCCTGAAGCTACCTGTATCCTCACTTTTCATTTATATTGTGTGTGCTGCACGAATTTTGGACATGAACATTTGAAAAAAGTTAGGTCAGGAATTGGGAGAGGAGAAATTCTCTCTCATTTTTGAGAGTTAGAACAATTTCTTTACATGTTTAGAATCGTGACATGATGCTCTATAACATTACTGTTGTAAGTTTTTGTTGAAAGTCAAAGAATCAAGATCTATGCTTGACAAGGGAAAACGCGCGCTTTGTGTTTGAAACTAGCTGGAGGTTGAAGACAAGCCTTCTTGGGCTGGGCCTGACTTGTTCTTTCTTTTTGCACCTTCATTTTTCACATACACCCCCTAGCCCATTGCTTGATATATTTGTTATTTTTTATTTTTTCCTTTTGATTTGGATTCTATATTTTTATTTAAGCATGAAAAAACATTAAAAATATTTTTCTCACATTTTTTGCATTTTTTTTATATTTATTTGTTTCATTTAGTTATATATATGTAAATAAATACATAATACCTTTTATTTTAAAATACAAAAAAATAATACAAACACTTTTATTTTCTGATTTTATTTTATTTTATCTTTTGAAAACATTTTCTAAAAAATATACTTTTTTTGTAAATAATAAATATTCTATTTTTGTACATATTTAATATATTTAGTAAATAATATAAATACTTATATATTTATTATAATATTTAGGATAAAAATACAAAAATAATACATTTTTATTTTTATTAATATTTGACCTCAAAAATACTTTTTTACAATATACCTCCTTTTTATTTATTTTTTGTATATAATTAACAAATATTGTACATATTAAATAATTAATACATTTTATTAGCAAATTAGGGTTTTTGCCCTAAACCCTAAAAAATCCAAAAATTAAACCTTTTTATTTTTGTTTATTTGTTACATGAAAAACACTTTTACATACACATAAAAATCACTTTTTGCATCTTGCATATTTATTGTATTTTATTTAATTATTGTATATTAAATAATTTGTATAATTCAATTTGGATGTAATAGTTTAGATTTAATTTTTCTTGCTAAATATCCCCCATTTGAACATTTGTACCCCCCATCCCATAATTTGTGTTGTAATAATTTAGGACCTTTAAATTCCGCATTTAAAAGCTTTCTAAATATGCCATGATAGAATTAGGGTTTTGTATGCAAAAATCAAATAACAAATAGCTTGACCTAACAAAAGATAACAAAGCATGAAAATGAACAAACACCAATCACACTTGCACCCCTAGGGTTACTCCACTTGTTGCCTTCAATAATGGGCCATGTTGCATGTTAAGTGTCCTTGGAAAAACAAAACAATATCAAATGATCATAGTCCCTCGATGACGCTTTCGAAAGTTGCCTAAAAATGATCAAGTCCCTTAAAGGAAAAAGTTTCCAAAGACACTTGGCACCATTGCAATCATGGTCTAAACGATGACCCGCGCCCGTCCCGTTAACATCCTAACACAAGATTGTCCACCAAATACAATGGTGGAACAAAATTGTTAAAAGGGTTAAAAACATAGGAAAAGCCTTTGAGTAAATTTAGGGGTAGACAAAACTCTTGGTTACTTGATCAAACTTGCAAAAAACACTTGCCTACTTTTCAAAACCACAATCCACAATACACTTTCAAAACAACTTTCAAAAACATTGAAAACTTTTCAAAAGACATACACCTTTGTATACATCCCAACATGGATCATTGCAAAGGTTGCCACCACATTGGCCTCTTTTCAAAAACATTTTTAAACCCACACACAAAGCACCATTTCAAACAATTGAAAATCAAAGGCAAGTTGATCTAAGCAAGTAACTAAGAGCCCATGGATAACCATGGATAGAAAGGGTGCTAATACCTTCCCTTTCTATAATCTACTCCCCGAATCCAAGAAAACATCTCAAAGGTTTTTGCTGTGCTTTTTAACCTTTCCTTAGGATAAAATAAAAAGTCGGTGGCGACTCTTGCTCAACCGAAACATTTGCAAAAACAAACGCAAAACCTCAAGTCAGTTCTCCCACCGTATCACACCTACTATCCAGGTTCCTTCTCATAGCCATACTATCCAGGATTTCATCTTGAAGTAACCCTACGATACAGGTTCCTTCTCACAGCCCTACTATCCAGGCTTTCATTTCGAAGTAACCCTACTATCCAGGTTCCTTCTCACAGCCCTACTATCCAGGCTTTCATATCGAAGTAACCCTACGATCCAGGTTCCTTCTCATAGCCCTACTATCTAGGCTTTCGTTTAGAAGTAACCCTACGACCCATGTTCCTTCTCATAACCTTACCATCTAGGTTTCTTCTCTCTTACCTCCAGACGACAGTTTACAACACGGTAAAACCTGGACCTGACCAGTTTCAGTCAATTTCACCTTTCCCCAGTAAGTCGCAATGCAGCCTATACACTGACCAGATATGCAGTTCACCTCCGGAGTTAATTCCCCAGTAGAGTAACGGACAACTGAAGCTCCTAAAATTCTATTTCTCCCAAGACAGATACCAATATTCCTTAGCAGATTCCTCCTCAACGACAGGAGCAGGGACTCTCATCAAAGGAATATCCCAGGAAATCAACATCCTCTAGATGGCATCTTTAAGCCCATCTCCGACGGTACTCCGTCACATCTTGGATGGCATATTTAAGCCCATCACCGACAATTATCTAGCAACTTCCAAATGTAATCTATAAGCCCATTCTCGATATCACAAATCAAGTATCACTTCATGCGAGTGCAAATTTCTGGGCACTCTAGTGTTCAATCATCTTCCACCCACGAAAGGCAGACGAGCTAATCTACATCCTCAGGTTTAAGAAGATTGAACAGGGGCAGTTGTTGTACCCCAAAATTTTCCCTCTCATTTTACTCAATACTCCTAGAGATCCTTAATTTGTTCAAGTTTGCCCAAGAGTTGACCAGACAAACTCTCTCCTAAGGCAGTGTGTCTCAAATTAGGGTTTCCATTTTCATCAAGATAAGTGAACTCCAAAGAACTCATATGCTCTCCATGGTCCTAATATGTTCTCAAGACCCTCCGTGTCAAATTTCAAGCATTGCACAAGAAGTTTGCTCAGTCAACTGCTCAGATGCTTGAGAATCGACTGTATTAGGTCAAAAGTCAATTGTGGCCCACATACAGTCAAACTTCAAGATTTTTGGTCAAGATAAACATTTTAAGTGATATCCATCATTTGATCAAGGGTTGATCATGATTCATCAAGGAATTCCCTAAATTCATCAAAACCCAAAAGTTGCTAAATTAGGGTTTCTCAAGAAAAGTCAACCAAACTTTGACCAAGCATAACTTCCACATACTTTATCAGAAATTTTCCAACCAAGGCTCATTTTGAATATTCCCTACAACTCATCTTCAGCCCACAAGTTCAAAATATGCACTCATAAAAAGATATGAATTTCTACATTATAGGTCCTTTTGAAAAGTAAAAAAAAAACACCTTTTGGATCAAAGCTTCGTACATGAACATGGAAGACTCAGTTGAAATGATACCAAAAGGGTTGCTTAGGGGACATCATAAGATTTCTAAAAAGTCCAATAACACCTCTCTAGGGTTAAAATTGGAGGAGATATGCCTTGTCAAAGTTGACTTTTTTTGCAAAATTGCCAAAAGTCAAATATGCTCAAAAGTGCATTTTTTACCAAATGGGCTTAGCATTTCATGATTGCACCTCACTTGTAGCATGTTCCACGACCAAAATGTTCACTCACATGTTATTTGATTCATTATTTATTTTATTTTGATTTCTTATTTATTAAAAATTGAATAAAATCAAATAATTGGTAAATAATATCAAAAATATTTTTTGATATGATTTTTAGACAGGATCTCAATCAAATAATGCTGAGATATCAAGACCAAATCGAATCAAGCATGA